AGGATCCACACAGGGGAGAAACCATATAAATGCATGGAGTGTGGAAAGACCTTTACTCGGAGCAGTACACTTAGTTCTCATAAGATGATCCACACAGGGGAGAAGCCATATAAATGCATGGAGTGTGGAAAGTCCTTTGCTCAAAGAGGTCATTTTATTTCCCATAAGATGATCCATACAGGGGAGAAGCCATTTAAGTGCATGGAGTGTGGAAAGACATTTACTCATGGCAGTGGACTTACTGTCCATAAAAGGATCCACACAGGGGAGAAACCATATGAATGCATAGAGTGTGGAAAGACCTTTGCACGAAGAGGTCATCTTATTTCCCATAAGATGATCCACACAGGGGATAAGCCGTATAAATGCATGGAGTGTGGAAAGTCCTTTGCTCAAAGAGGTCATCTTATTTCCCATAAGATTATCCATACAGGCGAGAAGCCATATAAATGCATGGAATGTGGAAAGACCTTTGCTGAAAAACGTAATCTTATTTCCCATAAAATGATCCACACAGGGGAGAAACCATATAAATGCATGGAGTGTGGAAAGACTTTTACTCGAAGAACTCATCTTATTTCTCATAAAATGATCCACACAGGGGAGAAGCCGTATAAATGCATGGAGTGTGGCAGTGGAGTTAGAAGCCACAAAGAGCTCCACACAGGAGAGAAGCCATATAAATGCATGGAATGTGGAAATACCTTTGCTCATAGATGAAATCTTATTTCCTATTAGAAATTGGGTGACAAAAAATTATTATGTAAGAATTAAATACATAGAGTGTTGACAATTAGAAATATGTTGATATAATTAATAGAACTATAAATAAGCTAAATTCAGTTAAAATTATTTTGTTACACTATCATCATTGTAACTAGTATATCTGTTGATATTTCTGTTTGTTTTTTCTTGTACTTTTTTGTGTATGATATGCCCTGAAAATATACTGTATTCCAAATGTTTATGAATAAAAATAAAATATATACTCAAATACAGTAAAATAAATGCATGGAATGTGGAAAGTGTTTTGCTCAGAATGGTCATGTTGTCATAAAAGGATCCACGCTCGGGAGAAACTATATAGCAACAGCAATTCCACTCCACATATATACCACTCCACAATGCTTTACCACACTCTGAGCAGGTAACAAAGTCAGCTTATTTTCGCCAGCAATCTGGGTCTTCATTTTAGCTACTTTGGAAGGATGAAACGCTGAATCAACTATGAGACTGTCTGGCTGTGGGCCATTAGCCTGTAGTAATGCGTTCTAACTACTGACCCACCACATCTCTGTAGATTTGTATGTGTGCATATTGCGCTTTTCTGATCCAAATGAGACAGGTTGGATCCAATGTGGAGAAAAATAAGATTTTACACCTGGGCAAAAAACCCCGATTACAGGAAACCTGGCTCAAAAACAGTAACTGTGAGAGGGACCTTGGGAGTCGGAATGGATCACTTAAACATGAGTTGTGTATGCAGCAGCAGCCAAAAAAGCTAATATTCTTGATTGTATAAACAAAGGCATAGAATCAAAATCACATGAAGTATTAGTACAGTTTTATAAAGCCTTAGTAAGACCACACCTGGAGTGATATGGGATTTATTTTATAAATGGTTCGAAAACAGGAAATTAAATGATATTGTCATGATAAGATATATTTAAGGTTGAGTAATTTGTAATACACATGTAATCCTATTAAGAAATGTATATAAAATATAAATTGTTCTGTATTCTGTACAGTGGTGGATTTGTCTTCTATACAGATGCAGATAAATTCAACAAAACATAACGAAGTACTTTTATTGGTTTATCAGGTATCCTCATAACTCACATTTATGACAAACAACTTCTTTAAAGACCAATCCTTTGCATATCTGTTTTATAGGTAAAAATATGATTATCTGCTATCCTTTTCCCTCATCTTGTAGTGGCAGGAATAGACCAGTTACCATGAGTCTGCGGGTTCAGCCAAGAGTGAGGAGAACTCCCCCAACCCATCGAGGGTCAATTTAGTGACCAATTAGGATTATAGATGTGGTCACGTGACATGGACTACATTTCCCAGGATACTTTAACTACATTTACCATGATGCATTCCCTTAAGGGGACAGGTCACAATTGCTATCTAACTATCCAATTCCCATATACTGGCTGGACAGCACATTAATACTTGCCCAAGATATATATACCCAACCATCACACTGTATAACTGAAAGATGCATTTGTTTTAAAATAAAAATAAAATAAATAAATAAAAAGGAACAGCTTTCCTTCAGACAATGCGGTTGCTTCATCACTGGACGTTTTTAGGAAGAGACTGGATAGCCACTTGTCTGAAAGAGATCCTATCGGAATATCAATAGATCCTGAAATGGTATAGGATCTCCTGCATGAGCCGAAAGTGTGGATAGGGGCGCCAGCAGCCGAGGACTTCTATCAGGCTTAGGCAGTAATTGTGAGAGGGATCTTGGAGTCTTAGTGGACAGCCAGCTAAATAGGAGCCAGCCGTGTGCAGCCGCTGCCAAAAAAGCTATTGCAATCCTAAATTGCATTTACAGAGATACAATCAAGATCAAGTGAGGTACTAATAACCACACTATAAAGCCTTAATAAAACCACACCTAGAGTACTGCATCCAGTTTTGGTCACCACATTATAAAAAAGATGTTGAGATGTAACTATTCCACCATTAAGCAGACATTGCCAAACACGGACACAAGGATATTTGCACATATCTAATGACCTTGTTTTAGCCAACCGCAGGATGTTTCAGTACGAAACAATGACTGTTGGTATTCTCCGTCCCAGGACACGTTAGCTAAGTATGATAAGTATACTTGCAAACTTGCAAACTATCACATACTTTGTTCTTTGTTCTTTGTTTATGAGTTCTTCCATATAAGGTAAAATTCTGCTACCTCCTTTGTGCTCCCCCGCCCGCTTGAAAGAAAATAATAAAAGAGGTTTGTGCAAAGCACTCGGGGCCGCCGGGACCATTCCACCTGCCCCGGGCGCGATGTGCTTCCTCCTTTGAAAACAATCGGATGTCTGGTGTCTGTTATTGGTATTTACCCTTGCGAGGGTCCCGCTAAACTTCTTCCCTGCGGGGAATTCCATAGGCAGCGGAAGGACGCCGACGGAACAACGGACCGGTCGCTCGGCGTGACATTGAGACTCTAGAAAAAGTACAGAGAAGAGCAACCAGGATGATTAGGGGACTGGAGACTAAAACATGAACAATTACAGGAACTGGGCCTGGCTAGTCTAGGGAAGCGAAGGACCAGGGGAGACATGATAGCGGTCTTCCAATATTTGTGGGGCTGCCACAGAGAGGAGGAGGGGATCAAGCTATTTTCTAAAGCGCCTGAAGGCCAGACAAGGAATAATGGCTGGAAACTGAACAAGGAGAGATTCAACCTGGAAATAAGGAGAAACTTTCTGACAGAACAATCAACCAATGGAACAGAAGTTGCCCTCGGAAGTTGTAGGAGCACCATCACTTGAGACCTTCAAGAAGAGATTGGACTGCCATTTGTCAGTAATGGTGGTAGGGTCTCCAGGGGGGTTGGACTAGATGACCTGTAAGGTCCCTTCCAACTCTGATTATCTGTTAAATCTGATCTGTTAAATCTGACTTCAGGCACCAGGGCTCTATCAATTCCTAGATGGACAGAAGGAGAGAATCCTCAGAGCTGCAGCGGACCTTTTAAGGACCCTCCTGGGAGGCTCTTAAGATACTTACATACACACACCATTAATCCATCTAAGAATTGTGCCAGTTAGAGGATTTGGTGAAAGAGGAGATCAAGAGGGATCCCTTCCAAGGCTCTGCATTGATCCTGGGATCTGCCTGATCTCAGCCTCCATCTGCCCACACCTTCCCTTTCCCCAAGATCCCCCCATCCCTTCCACCCTCACTGCCGCCCCCATCCCTGGCAAGCTGCTGTCTGGGAGTTGGACACCTCCGCACCTTGTTCCCCAGGAACAGCCAGTTGGAAAGGGGCCGGCCAGCTGCAGGCAGAGCTTGGTTTTGGGGGGTGGGTGTCTGTCTGCCTCTTCATTTCCCCAAATTCCCACATCGTAGCCCTGCCAAAGCCTTGGTATGTCCTGGAATCCGGGCCGTCCTGTGTCTCTCATATCCCTCATTCTCCTCTTTCCTTCCTGCCAAGCCCACCGCCTCCATCTCCCCCTACCAAGATGGACCCCGCTTCCCCCAACACCATCCTCCTCTGCACCATGATGGACTTTTACCCCCTGGAGATCGAGGTCCAGTTGCTGAAGAACGGGTGGAGGCTGTGGCCTTCGGGGAGGAGCTCCGGAACGGAGATTTGACCTACCAGCTTCAGGTGATGCTGGAGACCCAGCCCCAAAGTGGGGGGACCTCTACGCTCGCCAAGTGAGGCATGCCAGCCTGGAGGCCCCCCATCACCATCCAGCAGACAAGAGGCTGACTTGAAAGCAAGCAGCCCTCCCTAATTTCCATCCAGATGTGGGCTTTGCCACCAGGAGAGGGGAGACCCCGGAGTTCGCCTTCTCTAACATCCAGGAAGCATTTAAGTTTGCGCCATTTCTCCTCCGCTTCCCACTCCTTTCCTCAGAGAACTTCTACTTCTTCCCCATCATTTCCAGGTATTTCTCTCTTTCAGCAGAGAAAAACATCAAGTAGCATTTGGGAAGAACTTTTGCCAGTAGACAAGTGTTCTGCTTATGACTCTCTGGATGGGTATAAAGCAGACAGAGCAACTCCACAAAGCATCCATACAATGTCTTTTTTATTGGTTCATCATGACGAGGTTCTTCTTAATGTCCAATCCTTTGCACATCTGCATTATGGTGTAGAAAGATAATAAACTCTCATCCCCATGATGATTGAACCGGCTGCATGGTAAAGGATTCAGGCAAAAGTGAGGAAGCCTCCCCCAACCCAACAAGGGTCAATTTAGTGACCAATCAGGATTACAGATGTGACCACAAGACATGGACTACATTTCCCAGGATACCTTAACTACATTTACCATGATGCATTCCCTTAGAGGACAGCTCTCAATTTCTAACTAACTATCCCAAATCCCATTAACTCTAAACGGCCTGGACGGCACAAAAAGTGCAGATATATTTGTGGAATCCGGATGAGCTTTTCCCCCTACGAATTTGGATGTTTCGGCTTTGGAAGAGAAAGCGCCTCTAAAACAAAAGGCTCCTTTTGGTTATTTTTTATGAAGATTCCCATGGAATGAAATAGAAAATAAAGGTCGTCGGGAAATGGGAAAGGGACAGGAAAGTGTAGGATAAAGGGAAAAGGTTTATTTTCAAGGAAGCAGAATGCAAAGTAAAATTTCAGCCTCAATTCTTCCTTCTACTGTTCATTCTTAGTAAATTTGGTACATTTCTATGTCAAGCAATCCTAATAGAGGTTTCCCTTCCTTCTGCCTCAAGCACAAAGTCCAGAAGTGGTTTCCAGGTAGAAACACAGCTGGATCTTTTCTTTTCTCTGGTCAAAACAGCTCATCTCGTCCTCTCAGCCCACTCCCTCATTTCTTCCGTCCATCCACCTTCAATCTTGCGGATGGAGGTATATTTCCAGTTTTATATATTAAAAATTCCTACTTGTACTAGCTTGTAAGGTAATAAAGTTCCAATTTTTTCTTTCAAGTTCCTTATCCAGTAATCCTAAAAGGTTAATCTCTGGTTTTCAACAGACACAGAGAGATAAATTACATTTACACAATTTTAAAAAACCTAGAAAAAGAGATGAAAAAGACACGCCTCCCCTCCAACAGCCAATAGATAAGCAGGGATCAGCACCAGACAAACAGGGAGAAAACCATTCTCCAATCAAGGAACCATCCAGGAGGGAACCCCACAATCTCTGGCCGGGCATCTAAACAGGAAGCTTTGCACTGAGGATGTTACCTAGCTGGGTAATAAAACATCTCCAAGCAAACCAAGCACCGAGGGCACCAATGACCCCAGAATTTAACCCAA